GTTTGTTTTGAGGCTGTGCTTGTGGATTGATGATACCTTTCACATTGTGAGCTGTACATTCGTTTATTGTCTCGCGTCTTCCCCTCATGTAGACCCAGTATCCTCATATCCTGAGCAGAGCCCGCGGCCAGGGTACATTCTGTGCCATAGACGCCTGCAATGATGCCACACGCGACAGTATCATGATTAAAGCCAGGAACAAGGGTAAGCCATGGCCACTTTAGCCATCACACATGAGGTTGGCAAGACAGTTAAAAGAAGGGGGGGGGGTTAATAATAAGATTATTTATGTTTTTTTCTTGCATATCAGTTACAAAGGTCATTGTGTCTTTTGCAGTAGTTATGATCTAATATTATCTATATTTATAAATGTAGAATTTTATTTAATAATAAATGTATTATTATTATTATTTATTAATATTCTATTATTCTATAATATTAGTAATAATAATGTACATACATTGTGCATACAATGTTATTGTTATTATTATAACAATTATTTTTAAGGATAATAATAATGTATATAATATATATCATTATATAATGTATGTATATAATGTATCATTTTATTATTTTTATAATAACTAAAACTAAAAAACAATTGTTAGTATTGTTATGCATATTAATATTATTGCAAACTGAACATTACTAATTAACTTACTAAATATAATTACTAATTAACTACACAGGACAGTATTACTTCTACTGTGATTATTGTGCTTACTGTTAACTATTATTATTAATATACTCTGATTCTGATAATAATAATGATCTGATTAATAAAATGTATCACAACAGTAATAATAGTATTAGCTATCATTAGGATTATTATTGTTGTTTTGCATCATAATAATTATTAATACTAGATTTATAATAATAATAAACTTAAGTTACACATAAATAAGTTAAATTTAGACCTGGTCTTCACCATAAGATGCAGTGGCTTTATGGGATGCTGTGTTCTCTCACCAGGTCTGTTTATGGGTTCCTGTGGAGAAAAGACCATCCGTTTCCGTCCCACTTTGCTCTTCAAGGAGTACCATGTCCATCAGCTCCTGAACATCCTGAACGACGTCCTGGCTGAGCATAAATAGAGTTCTGGCTGCCAGGTCGGCCTTGATTACGGAGCATATAGGGGTCCAAGCCCACTCAAGGGTTTATAGCAGCCTGTCACAATTAATTGGTCACTGTCTCTCTCTCTCTTTTCATTCACTGTCTTCCTGTCATTACTAATTAAGGATAGAAATCTGTTTTCTATCTCTTTTTATTTAGCTGACAGATTTCAGCCCCATCGCCATATTTCTCGTCTTTTACTGACAGATTGAAGATCTGAAGGAGTTTGCAGGAAATAACCCACTCAAGTTACACATTTAAATAAATCCCTCCTGATGACATTTCAACTGTGTGAACTGTAAGGTCCTACAAGCCGCAAGTCAGTTGAATAAAGCAATATAGTGACACACAGAGACAGTACAGGACTTCTAATCACAATATTTCATATCTCTTTATGTATCAAATAAAGTCCTTAGCATTTGGAAGGTGACATGAAAAGATTAATGATCTGATTATGTATGATACCAAAACTACAGAAAATAAGCTATTGTCCGATTGATTATATCATTTATGGAGATAAAATTGAACTATTTTAGTATCTATAGATACTAATATCTGTATTTGAAATGTCTAAAGTGTGACATTTTGCATGACGGAAGATTGAATTTACAGAGTACCTGAATATAACCGTCCTCTCTGAATTAAAAGCATGTGTGCAAGACAAATTGTGGAAGCAGCGTTGGCCTCACTGCATTCTGAGGCACTAGAGCCAGCCAATGGAAAGCTGGAAAAAGGGAAAGTGCAGAGAACCGTATAGCCTCTATTCCCATTTCAATAAAACGTCTGTTGAGATGAAAACCTTCAAGCAATAAGCAACCCTTTATTGAGGTGGCTGCTTTACTGTCATTGCAGTCATAAAGAACCATTGCCATTACTGAGACACGAGGCCTCTCGTTTGAATCCCGGTGAGAGATCTATGAGCGCAGTGTTTCCAGCACAAACATTTAAAGCACAACCTGGTGTGGTAATGTGAGGGCTGATATTTCCTACAATCTAACAGAATTAATATGGTTTATGAAAGGCCAAACATCCACCTAACAATAGTAATCTGTCAGGACTCATGTTTGAAAAGCACAAGCTTGTTGAGGCCGCTCCTCTGCTCAGGTGAACATGATCCCCTCATGTTTCTCATTACTGGCAAGAAAAAAAAGGTATATTGTTCTGCTGGATATCAACTACATGGTCATCTTCACTTAATGGTTATCACAGCCTGTAAGCGTTTCTGATCTTTGGGGTGATTCTCCTCTTCCAGTTGCTCCGAGCCGACAGAGTAAACGTCCCTTCCGCTTGATTAAAACACTTAAACCCCAGTATGTACTTACTGTAGTGAGATTATGCAATGCTCATTGTGTAAGTTTTGTCTGTGAATACTAAAATGTTTCCAGCCGCATCGGAATCAAGTTTCTTATCTGACATTACCGCATCAAATATTAATATGTACAAAATCAAACTCTCTCTAACACGGTGTTATTCTTTCGTGATATTGTGTCCCATATGTTAGTGTAATGTAGAAATGTAATTCATGTTGTTTTGGGTGTCTTTAAACGTTCCTTTTAATGCTGCGATCAGGCAGCGTGCATAGCAGCAATCGGAGTTGTGAAAGCAGTCTGTACTTGGCAAAGTCCGTATTTAATTGAGAAATGTGTATTTACAGACACTAACAATTAGGTCTATATAATAAATGCAGATGTTTACAGTTGTGTTGTACAAACAGAAAGAAATTGATGTGCTTTCTACATAAAATCTAAATGTTGTCTGAGGAAGCTATAAAATCAATGTTAAAATAAATCTGACATTTTGAGTAATCTTTTATTGTTCTTGACGGTCTTTGAACCAAAATGACCAAGAAACACACATGTACACGAGAAATTATCAAAATGGTATTTTCACAATGTGTAGACAAACACAGACATTGGTTTTTTTTCAGTAAATTTAAAAAAATATGGAAATCTACATATTTTAGCAATTTAGATATGCCCAAAGAAACCAGATGCAGTATTTTTAAATTTTTCGTGGAATTATGGCTTCATGTTACACAGCACTTAAAGGCAATTCAGCCCTGTTCCCACCCCCAGAAAAGGAACAGAAACCCATTTTAACATCACTATCACACAGTTCAGAGTTAAGAGAGGATCTTATGTTTCAACCACCGCTCCAGACCAGGTCTCATGCTTCGTGCCTGGTGCTAAATGAGTGATGGTCACCTCCACGGCCTGGATCTTCTCATGTTTGGGTGGAATAGAGCAGATCTTGTAGCTAACTTCATCACCTTCCATAGGCACATATTCACCATCGACGCTGTGGGAAGAATGGAGATCATCGGCAAAACATTACTTGCTGGATTTAGACAAAGGTGTTTAAAACAAGTGTATCACATGGAAAACACACTGCTTATTATTTATGGAAAGAGCAGATTGACAAGACATTTTGGTGACAAAATAAAAATGTATCCCATTTGTAAGTACTTTTTAAATCTTTATTTTTTACTTGTTTCAATCTCTGAAATGATTGTCTTGATGTTGTAACCAAGGCCACGAGGGTGGAACAAAAAATGTAAAAAAAATATATATATAAAAAAAAATCAATTATATAAAATATTTTTAGTATTTAATAATTATATAAAAATATTGTATTTTATTAATATTAACTAATTATGTTTTTAATAATATAATTAAAGCATGTGTGTGTACATTTTTTCCTGCTGAATATTCTGTTAAATATACATGTTGTGTTTTCTTAAAAGTTACCTTACAGAATTTGATGTAGTTAAAGAACATGAATAAATCTAGAATTAAGCAAATATCCAAAAGAGTGCAAATGCTCATCTGCAGGTTTCCAACATTCTGTAAAATCCATAAAATAATTTGATGTGCTGAATGTTTGACAAGAGCGCAGCTGGCAAGTCTATACATTTTTCCCACTGGTCAAACACACTTGATCTGAGAGAAGCCAGTGACTGCTCATCTCTCATATTCAAGTGTTTAACTGAGCCTTGACCTCAAAACCTTTCACACGCACACTCCACGAGCTTCTATTCCCAGAAGCCCCTCCTTCATGATCAGCTCAAATCCATCTACAAATTAATAAACTTAAGTTACTGACGTGAATCTATGCACCTGTTGGAGCACTAACATTTCTGATCTCTGTTTAGGCATGCATATTAATAATGATTTGTGTTTTTTTTCTGACGATTCTGAGTTAACTGGGTTTGTTGTGGAATGTGCGTTGGCTTGGATGTAGGAGCCTGAAATCTTGTTGAAGGTTTAAGATGTTTGCCCGGTGAACTCACTCAGATATGTGCACAAAGATGTCATTGCCTCCGTCTGATGGCGTGATGAAACCGTGTCCTTTGGAACGTGAAAAGCACTTGCAGACCCCAGTGAAGACCGGCCCCTCGGCTGCACGCGCTGCACTGGAGCGGTAGAGAGGAAAACGTATGATTCAACATTCTACATATGGATGAATTTCACAGAAACGTGCCTAGGTCACAACCTAAAAACTAACATGGAACATTTGGATAATTGAGATGTTTTAAAATGTTTTTAAACGTGCTTTGTTCACCAAGGCTACATTTATTTGATTAAAATTACAGTAATATTGTGAACTATTATTACAATGTAAAAGAACTGTTTTTTATTTTAATATTTTTAATATAATTTATTCCTGTGAAGGCAAAGCTGAAGTTTCAGCATCATTACTCCAGTCTTCAGTGTCACATGATCCTTCAGAAATCATTCTCGTGTGATGATTTGGTGCACAAATATTATCAGTTGCTATTTGTGCTCAATGATTAATAATGGTTCTTATTGTCAATGTTGAAACGTTTCATTTTTTTTGCTCAATATTTTTGTGGAAATAATACATTGTTCTCAGGATTGTTTGATAAATAGAAATTTCAGGGCACAGATCTGGCCAAGGTTACAAAAAAATTTCTGCTGCAC